AACCAGCTCAGAGCGCTGTAAACTTAAGCTGCTCAGACATGACATCAAATATTTAGGTTATTTGGGATTTGTGCTTGATTGTTTGATGTTTCTGTTTCATTCTCAGTAGACTCGGTTGCTGTTGTGCCACTGAATATATTCCCAGCAGAAAATGCAGCTTCGTGGAGACCCAAACTTTTTCAAGGAGAAGAGGCTGTCTGGAAGAAAATGATCACATTTTCATCACTTTTTTTTTTTCTTTTTTTTTTTTTCCCCCTGAATTGACATCCTGACCCTACAGGCTGGTTTAGGCTGAATTTTGCATTCAGAGAATTGAATTCAGTTAAAAAGTAAGGAAAAATACTTGAGATGGTTCCAAGCTGAACTGTTTCTGGTTTTGAAACATCACCTAGTCCACATTTTCTCATTGCAGCTCAGCACTGCAAACAAATATTGAAAAACGGCCTTTCCCAGGCTACAGCCTTTTTATTTTCTGATCAAACTTCGCTACAGAGCAGGAAAGCTGGGAAATGCAGATGTCTCAAGCTGACAGTGATCATTTTGGTAATGGAAATAGCTTACTCTGCTCTGCAGGGGAGAACTGGAAAGACTCAGCTAGAAAGAGACATTGGAATTAAAACAAATAAAAATAAAAATAAAAATAGGAAAAGGGTCGTGATTGAATGTGAACGCACTTGACACCTAGGTGACCCTCCTCTTCTCCTGTCCCTGGCTTCTGCCATCTTAAAAGACAGGAGCTCTCACTTCAAATTAACTTAATCTATAGCGTTAAATAATTCATGTTGATTTAAGAAAGCTTTATTTCTAATGGGACACACATGAAGGCAGACTTAATATTAGAGAAGGCTGTGGAGGGGGAGGAGAAAGGGAATTAGACGATAAAAGGTGGATGTACAAGTTAATTGCCTATCAATTATTCACCTTAAGTCCCTGGAAGTAGCTCCTCTGCCTCCCCCCTCACACCCCCATGGTCCCCTTGTCCTGGCCGTCACCAAGCTCTCACCAGCATCTCTCTGGGACCAACACTTGCCCTGTGCCAAGCTGTGGTGTGCAGGAGCTTGCCGGGACAGGCTGTGGCACGAGGCTGGGCTGGAGGCATCGCACCTCGTGCTGGGGAGGACCATGGACCAGGACAGGCTTGGGATGCTCCTGCCATGACGGAAGGAGCAACCACGCTACCACCCGGCTTCCCCGAGACCTCGCCATCCATCTTGACCCCCCTCCTGGCCCCGCGGGTCCTGCCTGCCCCCAGCCATCATGGGCTGCCATGCCGCTGCCAGATGAGCTCGGCGAGGCGGGTCTCCCCTCTTCCCCTCCCCTCTCCTCCCTCCCGGGGAAGCCAACGCTCTCTTCAAAGTTGCTCCTCGCTCGGCTGCCTTCGAGATCTGGGAACTCAACACTAATTAACGTGTCTGCAAATCCCAGCTCGGCTGGCGGGGCCTCGAATTCATTCACAGTCCCCTGAGTGCAGGAGGATCCACAAGCTAGCCCTCTGGCTCCTTAAACTACACGGCTGGCAGATGCATATTTTAACAACACACATCTGTTGGCTATATAATCTCTTGTATTTGCCCTCTCTGCTCCGAGCTTTGATGGAAGACCGGAGGGAACTCTCCAGTGGTTACAGCCAAAGTGTTTGCTTTGCAATTTCACTCGATTGCTGTCTGATTTTATTTTTAAATTTCTCCAAGTCCTAATCAGGCTCTTACTTTATTTAATTAATATCCCAGCTTAGTTAAATAGATCATAAATTAAGAAGCTCTGCCACTAAAGATGAACCAGGTAGTAAACAGCCCTCCAGTGGCTTGCCAAAGCCTGCCTGGCTTGGGCTCCTCTGCCGAACTGCTGCCCTGACATCCTTTGCTTGCAGAAAATGTGGATGCTCTGTATCTCCCAAATCCCATCTCACCATCTTTATCAGCCACTGCCTTCCCTGCTGGGACAGACAACCCTGGGAGAGAGAGCAGCGGCTCCTTCCCCGGACAATTTGGGCAATGGTAGGAGAGAAGGTGAGGGAGACCTGGAGGAAAGTCCTTCAGCTTTGGGATGAGTTAGCCAGGTTCCTGAGCAGTATTTGTCCCTGAGACTCTACAAAGAAAAGATTTTCCCCAAAGCTGATGACACTAATAGTCTCATCTGTTTGAATGTTTGGACTTCCAAGGCTATGGAATGATCTGTTCCACTACATTTAACCATGTAGATTTGAAAACAATGTGACAAAACCTTAAATATTTAATTAAAATATGGTGTAGCTCTGCATCTCAGCAGGGAAGAAGGAGGCATCAGCCCCATAAAGCTGTTGTCAGACATGAATGACAGCAGTTGGAAACTGAATTGGGAGGCATTAGGGGATTTCTTGATACCAAGGAAGTGGAAAAGTTGGCAAGAATGGAACAAGGCAGCACAGACTCAGGCAAAAAGAAGCCAGGCAAGGTATTTTTCCAGAGACAAGGCTGGGGTGTGATAGAGTGGGATGGGGTTCCCCAGAACTGCCTCCAACAACCCCAGCTGGCTGACGAGCTCCTCGAGTCGTTGGCACACCCCGCAGCAGGCGATGGCTCCCAGCCACGAGAGCCTCCCAGCTCTGTGACACATCATTTCCTCGAGAGCTGCGGGGTTTGCTCACAGATCCGGGCACAGCTTAGGGATCCCCTCCTGCCTAGGCGAGGCCTGCAGCCTCAGGTGAAGCTGGGCAGACTGGGGTGAAGGAACACCCCACATTCTCCTAATGAGGTGGCTCAGGTGGCCGGTCACACCCCCTCCTAACCCAGCGAGATGAAATTTGGGAGATCCACATCCCTCCGGAGACGGCGGCTTAGCTCCCGACTAAAGCAGGCTTGTCGCGTTGGCATGCACCGGATCCGAAGAGGAGAAACATTTGCACAGCTGGTGGCAACACACATCTGTAACCACTGAAAACATCTCTCCATTTTCCTGTACAAACACGTGCTCTGCCTCCCTAACGCACACTAGGTTCAGCTTGATGCACTGCATGCCCTAAGCGGCTGTCAGGAGCCAGCACTAGCTCTTAACACACAGGGTGTTGGAGGGATCTGCTCTTCACGTGCCATTCCTACTCCCCTCCATTGGGCTGGTTAAAACGCAGGCCACGGACCATCCATGGCAATGTCAGCCTACGCTGCTGGTGCGGCAGGACACACCATCCTGCCGCAGAGGTATCGAAGTGCAAGCTGCTGACTGCTAATGACCTCCCAGCCCCTTTCCCAGGGTGTGGATTATCACTCACACCACCCCAACCAGCCTGAAATTTCCCCAGGACATCTGCATAAATATATTGAAAGTGAAAGATGTGCCACTGATGGGTTCCAAAGACCCATTTTCTTATCGATCGCGTTTAAGCTGAATGCGCTATAACTTTTTTTTCTTAAAAGGAAAACACTCTGTAAATATAACTTGCTGAACATCTTAGGTAAATGTACCAATTAGCAACTACCATGTATATTCACATAAACATTAACTACCATCTATTCAACACATTCCATAACCCCAAAGATAATAATGATTTCCTTTTGATCCATAAAAACATCACTCTGTTCAATCAGTGCTTTGCAGCAGCTCTGAGCTCTGACGTACGCCCGTGCGCCCTGGGACTAAATTAGTTTTGAAATCTTTAGCTCTAATTAAATAACATTATTTCTTTTGTCTGGCTCCAGCAACATATTCTGCCTTCACAACAGAAGGAGGGAGCCCAGGCAAAGGAGGAGAAGGCGACACAGCTTGCAGAGGTTGTCGGTAAGCGAGGGAGCCCCCCTGACAGCCACACTCTGCTTTCTGATTCATTTGCAGGCTTCTTTCATGTGTGGGCACATGTCAGAGCTCTGAGCTGCTGCAAAGGGTTGATTGAGCAGAAGGATGGATCAAAAGAAAATCATCATTATCTTCGGGGTCAGGGAAGGAAGAGATGGCAGTTGTGTAAGTTTGGGGGTAGGGTACTTCATAGGGTTGCAGAGAGGAAAACAAATGCAGGGGAGATGACAAGCTAGAAATTAGGACCCATTTTGGTGGTGGAGTGCAGACTCCAGTGAGATAAACCTTCAACCAAAACTAGTACCTTAATTCAATTTTTTTGGCTGTTTAAGGCTAATTAGCGTTGACCTGACTAAAAGAACTAAAACTCTTGGTTTGGAACTTCTTTTTAAGAACTTTTTTCCCTAAAAATTGAGCAGGAAAAAAACAAACAAGGAAAAACAAATTCAAACTTCAATTTAAACAAACTTAAAGATGTAAATAGCTTCACTTTGGGGGCTGAATAATCGGGATGTATTTGGGAGCAATACAGACTGGGTTTTGTCCAAGCTTTTCAAGAAAAATGCCATTTTGACTGACTTCTCTGAAGCCACATCCTTTCTGGGAAGTCTCCATGAGGCAGCCTGCCTTTTCACTCCTGATGAGCATTTACAACCGCTTTGCCAGCCTGGCAACAAAGCCCCTTCTACTCTCCCATCTCTCCCACAAAATGGGTCTTAACAAGATGTTGGGGGCTGTCCCCTGTTTGCCATCCCATGCAGCGTCCTCCTATGCTGCTCGTGGGAAAGATCAATTCCTGAGAAATGCACCATGCTAAAAAATATGTCTGAAAAGCGTATGAAGATAGTATGAAAATGAGCTTTTCCTCAAGTGGTGTGGCCCTCCTGGTCCTGCCGCAGAACAGCACTGCAGCAAGGGTAACACGTATCGCACTGATGGCACCAACACTCTTCATATCTTTAAATTTATGCACATACACTCTTGAATTGGCATGTGTATTTGTAGAGCTGAAGTGCCAAACATTCTGTTACTCATCCCAGAATTGCGGTATTCCCTAAACAGCTTCCTTTGCTACCATTCTCAGGATCAAGATGCACCCCTGTCACTCTCACGATGGATTAATTGCCAGTCCTCTTGATTTAGCAACAAAACATTTTGTCAAAAAGCCGCTCAGTGAGGACAAAAAGAAAAGAAGCAAATAACATCCAATATGATGGGGAGACAGGACGTACCGAGAACAGTCAGCCGGGCAGGTCTGGATCGGATGGCTGCTTGAATGGCCTGACATTCATAGACGGCGTCATCTTGGAGATCAGCTCTCAGGATTTTCAAGTGATGCTCTCCAGACAGATGGTCTCCTACGACCAGATAACGTGGATAACCTGCAGAATGCAAAACACAAGTCAGGAGGCAGCTAGAACCATGAGCCTGAGGAGGATGAATATAGAGCCTGGATTCAGAGCCCCAGCCACCCCTTGGCAAACGCCCAGGAGCCAGGCAGCTTCTTCCCCTCCCTGGCAGAGAAAGGCCTTCTGAATTCGGGGAGGAGACTGCAGGTTTTGCCCTAAGAGTTCAAAAATGAGGTGCTGATGAAGGAGCATTAGCTGAAATTAGCATTGGCATTAGCAGTGTGCCCAGGTGGCCAAGAAGGCCAATGGCCTCCTGGCTTGTGTCAGCACTGGTGTGGCCAGCAGGGACAGGGAAGGGATCTGAGCCCTGGGCTCGGCACTGGTGAGGCCGCCCCTCGATGAGTGGGTTCAGTTTTGGGCCCCTCACCCCAAAAAGGCCATTGAATGACTCGAGCGTGGCCAGAGAAGGGCAACGGAGCTGGGGCAGGGTCTGGAGCACAGGTCTGCTGGGGAGCGGCTGGGGGAACTGGGGGGGTTCAGTCTGGAGAAGAGGAGGCTGAGGGGAGACCTCCTGGCCCTCTGCAACTCCCTGCCAGGAGGGGGCAGAGAGGGGGGATGAGTCTCTGGAGCCAAGGAGCCAGCGCCAGGCCCCGAGGGAATGGCCTCAAGCTGCCCAGGGCAGGGTCAGGCTGGCTCTGAGGAAGGATTTCTGTGCAGAAGGGGCTGTTGGGCGTTGGAATGGGCTGCCCAGGGCAGGGGGGGGAGTCCCCGGGATCCCTGGAGGGGTTGAAGAGTCGGGCTGAGCCAGCGCTGAGGGATCTGGTGGAGTTGGGAACGGTCAGGGTGAGGATCATGGTTGGGCTGGAGGAGCTTCAAGAGCTTTTCCAACCTTGATGAATCCGGCATTCTGTGAAATCCCTAGGAGGGATGAGCCCTTCCATTAGGAACTCCACCACCTCTGGCTCCTCTAAGACCGGTCACAGGATTTCCTTAACTCCTTAAGTGCACATGCTTGTGGTGAAATCCTGGAACACCTCCCCTCTAAGGTCTGCGTAAGCGTTGGGCGGGGATCTGCAGGGGTACCGACAGCCCTGCTCAGCCTGCCCTCTCTTTTGAGACATCTGAAGCACCACAGAAGGAAGGCTGCCATCAGCCCATCCCTCCCCGTGCTGGTGATTAATGCACTGTGTAACAGAGGCAGCCTGGCACACTCTTGTGTTTTTGTTGTTTCGCAAGCTATCAACAGCAGGATTTGCTCTCCTGAACCGCAAGAAATACAAATGATGGGTTTGTTTGTAGTTAGCTAATTAGATGACTGGCTGAGCTGGTATCATGCGAGCTGGCAGTTCCTCTTGCTTAAAGCAGCCCCAGCTCCGTTAATTGTGGAAGTCATTCGCATAAGCTACATACTTCAGTGGAGCTGTTGTTACCCGCTCGTGTTGCAGGATCTTGTATGGAAAGCTCAGCTCTCTAATATATGTAAGAGTTGTGGCACAGAAGTTTGAGAAACAGCTGAGGAGGGGACTGCTCACTCAGGTGAGCCTGAGAAATGAGAAATTACATGTATTAAAAACAAAAGAGGAAAAGAAAAAGTAGGCATTGCACTTTAGAGAAGAGCAGGGTCTCTGGAGACCAGGAAACAAGAATCCTCCCCTGGTTTCTGAATGCTGCTGCTTCACTTGGGGAAAAAAACACCTCAGGCCTCCTGTGCTCTGCACAAGTCGAGCAGTGGCCCTGTCCCATGTGTGCAGCCTCTGCTGTGCTCGGGGGGACAAGGCTGCAGCGCCTGGAAGAGTTCGGTGCTTTTGAAATGTTTCACTAAAAAAATCAGTATTTTCCAGCAAAATATATAGAATAAAACTGTGTACCTTCACTATTGTTCCAGATTCTTCACCAGTTGCAATAAACCCTCAGTCACAATACATGCAGGGGATTAAGTAACGAGAAGTCTGAGCAATCTTATTACCGAACTATATTTTGCCAGAAGTACAGCTTAAGGGAGCCACAAGTACTTGTGGACTCCGCTGGATCTCAATAAACACATTTATTCAAAACAAACAGAGACTTTCTGGGTTTTTTTTGTTTTTCTGTTTTATTTTGTTTTAAACAAAAAAATTTTTTTTTGAGAATGTCAAAACAGGCACTTTCAACATTTACAAAACATTTCAGCCTGCATCTTGGAAACATGACATTTGTTTCCAGAAGTCAGCCGAAACAAAAGCAAGGCTTTCCAAAGGGTCAGGTCTCACCTGTGGGAAACAAACTGTTTTGTTTCAAGTCAGACTGAAAAAAAGGTGTTGTTTATTCCAAATTTCAATGCTTAGGTTTGAGCTGGCTGGAAGGGGTTGTAGTTGAAATTAAAATATTCTCAGAAATGAATACTGGGGCTGGACCTGTACTGTTGGGCAGGGAGAGCTCCCGTTTTCCTGGGTTGAGTTGGGCAGTAGCACGACTTACTTGAGAGATCCCGTCCGACGCCGAGGGCGAGCCCGTCTTTAATCCACAGCACGATGCCATTATACTCGGGGATGGCGCACAGCAGCGTCACGGGCTGCCCAGCGATCACCACCTGGTCCTGGGGCTGCTGCGTGAAGGAGGATGCTTGACCTGGAGAGGGGAAAAAGAAGAGGAGGCTGTCAGTCCCCAGGCGGTTCTCTGCGTGATGCAGCACCTTGGGATGCAACAGCCCAAACTGTTCCTGCCACGGCACAAACCTGAGGCTGAATTCTGCAGCTTTATGCAGCCCCCTCATACACTCAAGAGAAAAATTTGCAACATTTTTCCTCCCTGGGGAAAAAAATGATACAGCAAAGAGATGCCAGGCCTACCTCTACCTATTTTATTCTAAATTGTGTTGCTAGTGTTTTAGCCATCATGATCAACAGATGGAAAAGCAGCAGGCTCTCAGGAAACAATAATATATTGTATTACGCCTAATACAAGAGGATTCAGGTCCTCTGCTTCTGAGTCTCGCTCCCACCTCCGAAATCAGGACGCAAAGGTAAGAACCTGCTAAAAAACACACAGGAAACCAACTGACTACTGTTCTTCTCTTTTCTCCCAGCGTGTAACCTACTGGTATTTGCTGGGAGCTTCACATCTGAGGATGAAAGGAAGCAACAGCCCTGGTTCCTCACTGCCTTTTGTCCAAATTTCATCATCAAACTCACAAGCCACGCAACTCTAATAAGCCAAGCTCTTAAGAATGACACCTACCACCTTGCTTGACACATGGGTACCACGGACCAAGGGAGGTGATTCATCTTCTCCTCACCCTTCCCCACCCTGAATGATAACAATTCAAAGCCCTCGGGTCATCTCCTGCCATGCTGAGATGTCTCACACCTCAGGTGTGAGATGAAACTTCTCATTTTCAACAGAAAGTATTCTGATGCAGTATAACCCCTTTCACATCAGAGTTTGCCAAGAGCTGGAATTAGGTCTTAATTTCACTCTTTGAAATAAATCATCATTCTTTGGCTTTGCCATGATTGAAAAACATGCAAAGGGTTAAATTCCCCCCCCCCCTTTCCAAACTGTGTGCTCTGGCTTGCAATCAGGCACGGTGAGAATCTGGGATGTCCCTGAGGTTCAGTGGTGCCAGTTTGCTCCCTTCTCTCAGATCTGAGCTTGTAAGGAAAATAGAAAAGCAAGAACAAATGCACCCCTAAAATATACCTCTGGGGTGTCTGACAGAGATGGCTCGTTATGCTACAGGTGAGCACACGTTTAGTGCCACAGTCTAATGCTGGAAGGTCACAGAATCACCCTGGTTGGAAAAGCCCTTGAAGCTCCTCCAGCCCAACCATGACCCTCACCCTGACCGTTCCCAAGTCCCCCAGATCCCTCAGCGCTGGCTCAGCCCGACTCTTCAACCCCTCCAGGGATCCCGGGGACTCCCCCCCTGCCCTGGGCAGCCCATCCCAACGCCCAACAGCCCCTTCTGCACAGAAATCCTTCCTCAGAGCCAGCCTGACCCTGCCCTGGGCAGCTTGAGGCCATTCCCTCGGGTCCCAGTTCAGGCTGATCCGCTGATATCTGGACACCTTGTGAGCCCTGTCCTTTGTGTTAGTTATTTGAGCAGCATCTCAATAGCGCTATCGCTTTGCCAGCACTGAGAAGTCTTGCTCTTACTCTGGATATAGGAGAGATTTGAAAAAGAGAGAAGTTGGGAGAAAGGCAGAACGACTGGATTGTGCCTGGCTATATTACCTGAGGGATTTAAAGATCAGGAGTCTTGCTGTGTGTGAATTATCGCCCTGCGACAGGTACAGAATTAAAAGCCTACACCCCTAAGCTGAATGTCAGCTCAATACACAGAATTGTACCAGGCTGAAGAAAAAGTTTCTCTTTAAAATCAATTTGTTAAACCAGGACAGTTTCCATGTGAACCACCCTAAATCAATTCAATCCTAATTTACATCAACTCAATTTAATCATTGACTGATGATTAATCCTAAACCAAGGTTAAGTGTGACACAAGTTCTCGCAACTAAACTTCTTTCCGAATGAGTTGTTGGGCCTTGCCTACAGGGCAAAGCTACAAAGCTCAATCATTTTCTAACCTGTGCAGTTAAACCAATGTATGCCCCCATGTGAACACTTATATTTCAATTTAATTTATTATAGCTTAACCTAAATTTGCACTTATCCAGCTAAATATGCACGAGGAAGAGCAGAGCTGTCCTTTTCTAGATTTCTACTCGTTTACATACATCACGGTGAAAAGTCCTGCTGAAATTTTTACAGATCTCCCTGCAGCACCCAGGTGCACCTTGAGCACAGTATTCTTGGGTATTTCAGAGGTCCTGACTCTCCCAGCACCCACGTACTTGTGAGGAAATCTGATTTTCATCCCAGGTGCTCCACAAGACCACGGTGATGGCTCTGGGTGCAGCGCTGAGTGCAAACAGAACACGTTTATTCCAGGAGATTCCGGCTGTTTCTGCCAGGAGAGACTTGCTGGAAGACCCTGTGGCCTCTGATACCAGCAGAAACCCTTGCAATGATGAATTAAGACTCAGAAATTTGGTTTCAAAGGGAATATTAGTCAGCTCTGTATTTTCTTTGGACTCATAAGGGACATGCTACTAGGATACAAGGGAAACGATGAGAAAGACAATCAGGAAAGGAAGCAGAAAAAAGTGAGCATTTTGCTTGGGTTTCTTTTTTTTTTTTTTTTTTTTTTTTTTTTTTTAAATTTTATTTTATATATATATTTTCCACCCGCTAACTATGTTTTCACGGCTCACTCCGTAATCTTGACAATTCTCAAGGCAAGCTGGGACAGCGCTGGAACACGGCAATAACCCAAAAAGATTGTTTTATCGGCGAGAATTATCAGGTTGTCAGCTGGGAGCTGCAAGAGTCGTAATGAGAAAGCAGAAGCACAAAGTGGTGTCCATGCCCTCTGAAAATGTCCATTAAGCAGAGGCTTCATTTGGTAATTGCTGTTGGAAATGAAGCCCTTTTTTAGTTGGGTTTTTTTTTTGTGTTTTTTTTTGTTTGTTTGTTTCTTGATTTGTTTTAGGGAGCAGTTGATGGCCATGGAAAATCAGAGCAGAAACATGGCATATGTCTCCTGTCTTTTCCTTTCCTCTGTTTGTTCGGTGTGAAAAATTGTCACTTGAGACAAGTTTTTTTTTTTCTGTCCAAGGCTCCATCTCAGCTACAAACAGCTCAGACTCAGTCACAGGAGAGGAGAGACAGGGGTAAGGACCTTAAGAGCATTACCTGGCCCAGTCCCTGCTCCATGGTAGGATCATCTTTCCTTAAATCACAGATAAAAAAAGAAGCAAAAAGAAAAAAAAAAAAAGTACTGAAGGCAGAGCTCAACTAGCTTTCAAATCAGCTTAAAGTCTGATTACTGGGTTTAACTGGGTTTGGAAGATCAGAGGCTTGTCCACCTTACAGCTCTCAGCTGTCTTATGTCTTAATGTCAAAGTAACAAGTAATTTGCAGAAAAGTTTTAAGGGAGATAAGATACTTGACAGAAAATAACTGAAAATAGGGAGATTGGGAGAGAGAGATTTACAAATGCAGGTTGAGTGGTTTCAGCTACAAGAAAATAGGCTGAAATACATCAATTGGCTACTTTTCCCATGAACGTTTACAACAGCATTACAAAATGGTGCTTTGGTTTCAAAGCAGGGTGGTTTGACTCCAAGGACAAAACAAAACAAGCACTTCAATGATCACACAAGATACTGTCGATCAACCAGTTTTCTCTCCCCGCCCATTAAACAGGGTATTAACCCCCCGAAAATCCAGTTTTAACTATAACCTGCCTTCCCAAATCCAAATCCTTGCAGAGATCGGAGTTCAGCCCGCACTGAGCCCAACCAAGAGTCCAGGCAAGGTAGTCACAGCAGCCACCAGCCAGCTGCCACCTCCCACAGCCCCAGGAAGGGAACCCACAGTCTGGTTTTGGAAACATTCCTCTGAACTGTGGCAGCAATCGCGAACAGCAGGGAGATGCAGCACCGTGTACAAGTCCCGTCCCCTCCCCAAGTGTAGTTCTTCAATACTTCCACACCCTGTTTTTCTTTTTTTTCAAGCGTCAAGACTTGGCATACTTTCAAAGAAACAGCCCAATTGATGACTGGCTTCCCGCAAGCGTCCCTGGGAGCCGCTCAGCACCGACTCTGTCCCCCCAGGAGCATCCATGTGAGCATCTTCTGCGCTTCGCCTGACAGAGAGGAGACGCACCAAGCAGAAGCAAATATTAGGACTCTGAATTCATTGTTGATTTTAAAAAGCAAATGGCTATGCAAATGAGATGCTAACCATGCCTCTTGGCCACATTCCAGCACGATGGCAAAGTCCTAGCTGCACTCTCAAGCTGCCCTTATGCTGAATGCAGGTTGTCAGCCGCGGGTCAACCTGCTATTGTAGATGGGGGCGTTGGTGTCAGAGAAGGCATGAGAGGCTCTTGATCTCAGAGCCTCATCTTCTCCTGGTTGCTGGCTTTGCTTCATTCCCTGAGGAGCTATTTACACTGCCAGGCGAGTGAGTGACCTGTTTTCTGGCCCTGCAATTTTCTGTTGTCCTGGAGGAAGTCTCTCTAAAACAAAAGTGGGGGGCATTTCTCGCAGCTATTAAAATCCGAAACAGCAGGAACAAAATGGGAGAAAAAAGGATCCACCGTGAACAGCGAGCAGGCAATAACGCTAACCCTGCTTTCAAAAATCACAGGCATGATCCTTATGAAGTCACAAGCATGTCATAAAAGCTTGAGAAAAAAAAAAAAAAAAAAGAGGAAGAAAGAGAGAACCACTTTAGAACTCTTTTTATTTCCTTAATGGATTTTGCACCTGTGGCTCCGGTTTTTCAGTGTTTCTCTGTAATGTTGCCTTGTTCTTTCAAACAAAGGCTGAGAGTCTGCTATGTTTGTGACTTCCAAGGGAAATCACGCCGCCAATGCTGTAGCATCCCTTTTCAGAGAAGTCCCAACACCCACGCATGGTGAGGACCAAAAACCCCATTTTACAACCCTGAAAACGGAGGGAGGGCACCTACATGCCAACGCTGCCAAGGTCACGCAGGGTGTCTGCGATGCAGCAGGACCTTGACGGTCCTTCCGTCGCCAAAGCCTGAATTGACAACGG